TAACCTGATGCACAGCTCTGGGCATAGCTTCTTCACAGACCTGTGATGGTCTCCTGAGAGACATGCATCTGAGAGTACTTCTGAAGGTATTAGGCACCCACACAAGGTACAGAACAAGGAGTGGGCACATTCTCATTTGTGAAACTCTGTCCCTTGGGTCAGCAGGTGGTGTGGTGGTTAAGGTGCTGGACTTCAGCATGGCTAACCACAGTTCAAGTCCCAAGCCTGGCGACTTGAAAATTACACCAAGTGCAAGTGCATGTATGTCCAAAATCCTGAGAGGAGAATGGAGAAGAAGGGATTATGGCATGGCCATCCTCCCTTAGAGGTGATTTTTTTCACTTTCCTTGTCATTATCTCTCTCTGGTGAGCTCAAGTGCCCTATGACAAAAATGAAACAAAACAAAGCCTCAAGAGGATGAGACGATCAGGATTCAAGCTGCTTTAATGCACAAAGAGATCCTCAAAGAAAATTCATGGAAAAACATATTATGACAAAAATTGCATAGATTTCAATATTTTTGCACTAAAAGAAACATACTTTAGTTCCATTTTTTCACAAAATGTTGACGTCCTTTGCATTATATTTAGGAATACTGGGTGTGGGGGTTGTAGGAGAAGCAGAGGGAACTGTATCCCATATGACCAACTGTGCTTCTAATCTCTACTCTGGTGGCGTGGAAAACACACTGAGTGTGTGTACATGTGTGCCCCAAATCTTGTATCAGTGGAATTACTACCAAGTTGACTCCAGGATTTTGCTTCTTATGATTTGGATTATTTTCCATTCTTAACCCAACTACCTGAAGTTCCGATTTCTTCCTGCAATTCTGGGCTTTTCCCCCAAGCATTCTCAGCACCAACCCTTGCAATTCACCTTTCGGGTCACTGGTTGTAGTGAAGACTGGTAAGCAGATCCTGACGTGCAGTCTGAGTCCTTCCACTTTTCTTAGCCCAAGAAGCTTACAGTAGCGGGGAGAGGAATCGCAGTGGGAGGTATGGCTCACCAGCTGACTAGAGGTGGAACTCGGTGGTGGTGAGCAACAGTACTCTGTGAACCTACTCTTATATCTCCTCATTTAGAATGCTTGGATTCACTCTGTGAATAGCCTGCAGCAAAAGCAACAAACATCAAAGACGGACTCCTGGGCACAAAGGAATCTCAAGGCCCTGGAAAGAGGTGACCCATTGTTATTACTGTTCTTAATTATTCTTTGGCTTCACCAGAAAGCCAATGGGGTGCATGACACAAAAAAGCTTAACACAGCTCCCAGGGGGATGGCAGAGCAACAGGATGAAAAAAACTGGGACTCCTAAAGAACTTGCACCACTAGCCTAGGAATTCTCAAGTGAGGGGATAATAAATTCTTTGTTCTTAAACTACTGTACGATTCTCACATTTTAGCCTTACTCTAACTAATCCTAGTTTTGATTGCTCTGGTATTATTATGACAGTTATTAAGTTATTAATAATATTATAATTCAACTCTGCCTTAGCTCCTTTAACTAGAGAGAAATAACATATAAATAGTGGAAGGAAAAAAAGACAATGCACTCATTGTTTTTGCTAGGCTTTAGATGATTTTTTTTTTTTTTTTTTTGGAGAGGTTTTTGCTATAGGGCGCATGCACTTGCCGGAAAGACAGAGAGATACAGAGACAGGAAGAGAGAAATCACCCCCCAGAGGGGATGACCATGCCACAATCCCTTCTCCTCTGTTCTCTTGGGATCTTGGGCATGCACGCACATATGCCCAGCTTGAATTTAAGCCACCAAGTCCAGGACTCGAACCATGGTCGATTACATGGGAGTTCAGCGACATAGTCATTACACCAACTGCTGGTCCCAACTTTAGATGATTATTTATTTATTTATTTATTTGGAGAGGTTTTGCTACAGGGCATGTGCACTCACCAGAGAGACAGTCCTTAACCTCTCAGTTAAGGGACACAAGGCAAGCTAGAAGTTCAGTTCAAAATTCTCACCTAGAGCTACAAACTGCCTTCTTTAATTTATTTATTCATATGTTTCTTAGATATACTGTGCTTGATATAATGGCTAACAAAACAATGTCCTTTCTGCATTTATAGAGTTTACAGAACAGTGAGAGAAAAAGACAGAGCACTAGGTAATTGCTCTGCAGTGTGATGTGTCCAATTATAATAGGTTCCCAATGTGACCTAAAAACACAAAGCCATAGCAGTCTTATTCGAAACAGTTAAAAAGTGGAAACGACTGAAACATTTGAATCAATGAACAAAAATGTGGTATGCCCATGCAAGGGACTATCATTTAGCCATAGAAAGGGATGAAGTACTGATACAGGTTACAACAGGGATAAACTTTGACAACATCAGGCTACGTAAAAGCCAGACACAAAAAGCTACATACTGTATGAGTCAATTTATATGAAATGTCCCAAATAGGCAAATCTACGGAGGCAGAAAGAAAGTAACTGCCAGAAGCTAGGGTTGAGCGAAAGGAGAATGACTACAAACAAATGTCAGGTTTCTTTTAGGAATTACAAAAATGTTCTCAGTTAGTGGTAACAGTTGTCCAACTAGCAGATACACTAAAAACCATTGAGTTATACACCTTAAGAGTGAATGTTAAGGTAAGTGAATTATTTCTTTTAAAAAAATAGTTACCTAAAGGGGAAAAATCCCATGAAGCCTTTGGCACAGTGAAAAAAGTTATCTGAGACCTGCATAGGTAAGAGTACATGTGCTATAGAAAGAGCATTGCTTCAGGCTAAGACAGCCCCTTACTTAGCTTCTCATGATCATGGTTTCCTAACCCACAAATTAAAGTCCATGCAGTATTACTATGAAGTTTAGGAATAACACATATGAAGTACCAGTTTTAAAGTAGGTTCTCATTAAACAACTGCCTATCTATCTATCTATCTATCTATCTATCTATTTGGAGAGGTTTTGCTACAGGGCATGTGCACTCACCAGAGAGACAGAGAGAGACAGAGAGACAGAAAGTGAGAAATCACCCCCCAGGGGGATGGCCATGCCACAGTCCCTTCTCCTCCATTCTCCTCTCAGGATCTTGGGCACACACGCACGCACACATGCCCGGCATGAGTATAAACCACCGGGTCCAGGACTTGAACCACAGTCAACTACATGGGAGTTCAGCGACATAGCCATTATTCTAACTGTTGGTCCCTAGATTATTTTTTTAAAGAATTATTTTATTATTTAACTTTTTAAGTTTATTTATTTATTTTAATTTGACCAGAGAGGGACAGAGAGAGAGAGAGAGAGAGAGGGAAAGTGAGAAAGCAAGCCGCTAGGTCCAGGACTCAAACTGCAATCGGCCATATGGGAGTCTAGTGCCCTTAACCTCCCTGCTACCTGCCGGCCTCAAGCTTTGGATGCATTTATGAAGTCCTAGTAAAACTATGTTAAGAAAGAAATGTACTTTTTCCCTCATGGTTCTCTAACCTCCAAGTCTAGCGCCAAGGTCTTTCTCTTACTCTTGCTCTCCTTCCCTCATGCTTGCTGTGTGAGGTCAGACCATATGGGGTAGTTCAAGAAAGACATGACCCCAGACTCCTCTTTAAGTTAAATACTGAGAGCCAAGAATGACTGTGTATAACCAAAATACCACCTAGATATCAAGCATAAGGCCCCATAGAATATGATTAAGCATTGTGCATAGGGAGCTGTGTCCCACATGGCCAACTGAGCTTCAAACCTCTGCCCTGGTGGCTTGGAAAATACACTGAATGTATGTGCATGTGAGCCCCAAATCCTGATAGGCTGGAGAAATAGTGGAAAGGGGATTGTGGTGTGACTAGGCCCCACTAGGGGTGCTTTCTTCCTGTTCTCTCTGTCTCCCCTTTGCCCCCCTCTCTGTGTGTGTCTCTCTCTAGTGACTATATGTATCCTCTGCCAACTAACAAGACAAAACAAAACAACAACAACAAAAACAAGAAACCTCTTGTAATTAGTGAAAACAAACCAATCCTATGTAAACAAAACAAAGTAAAAATCATAACAAGGAAGACCTGAGAGTACAAGTTCCCGTTATGCTGTCTGCGTTAGGGTAGACGTGATGGGGAATAACAAAGTCACCTGAATGAATCAGGAACATTAAATACGTGGGCCTCTGATCAATCAGTAACCTTACAACAGAACTCTAAGAACTCAACGAATATAGTCAAGTATCTCTTTTAGATACAATAAGAAACTGTATACAGGTCTTGGTGCTTACATTACAATTAAAACTGAGAGTAATCTCTTCCAAAGGAAGGTAATACAGAATCAGGGTAACACAGAATCTGGGGGATAGGTCTGCAGACCATGGTCAGAGGGCATGGAGAGGGGAATCAAAGACAAATATACCCTAAGTAAGTAATATGCCCAACATGGGCTGCATTTTTAAATTACTCTAGGAAATCACTCTGTTTTTCTTGTACCCTCACTCGGCATACTTTTTTCCATACCAAGCAACTTCCCTACTCTCCAAACACAAGCTCGTTCTCCTACCATTGAACTCAATCTTGACTCTGTCTAAAGATAGCATCCACTATGTAAGAGCTCAGTCCTACATGACTCCTCCACTTCAGATGCCAGTTGCAAGCCCTGGGTTCTAGTACTTCTGACCAACCAACGATAAATTGAGGGCTCCCATCAGCTCATCCTCAGAATTGATAATTTGCTAGAGTGACTCATGGGACTCAGGAAAACACCTTAGGTTTACCAGTTTATTATGCCAGATACAACTCAGTATCAGCCAGGTGAAAGAGACGCAGAGAGCAAGGCAGCAAGGAAGGCCCAGAGCTGCCATGCCCTCTCGGGTGCTCTGCCCTTCCAGCACCGTCATGTGTTCAGCGATCTTGGAATCTCATAAAATCTCCTCGTCAAAGGATTTTTGCTTGTTTATTTTTAATCTATTTATGGTTAATCGCTGCACATTTTACAACATACAAGATGGTTTTCCCAATGTGAATACAGTGCGTATTACTCAAGTCATAGATGCTACCATGTACATTTCATCAACAGGTAACTTCATTTTTGTTTCTGTTAAATGTTTTTTTTCCTGTTTCCCTCCCTTCCTTCCCCTGTTTCCCATCCCCTCCCCATACTGTCTCTAGTATCTTCAGTTGCCCTCCCTGCTATTTTTAAAAAGAATTATTTTATTTCATTTATTATTATTATTTTAAAATTTGACCACAGAGACACAGAGGAAAAGAAAGTGAGACAACAAGCTGCCAGGTCCAGGACTCAAATTGTGGTTGGCCATGTGGGAATCCAGTGTCTCCACCACCATACTACCTGCCAGCCCCCACTCCCTGCTATTGTATCTTCCAATCTTTCAGTTTCTGCCATAGAGTACAGACATTCCGTATGTATTAAGTGGGGACATACAGTGCCTGTCTTTCAGAGTCTGGCTTGCTTCACTTCGCATTAAATCATCCATAGTCATCCACTTTGTATCAAATGTCAGGGTCTAAGAGTTTTTATAGAGCTTGATCTCTTGAGTCCATTCCTTTTTGAGGTCAGTGTGTGGGGATGAAAGTTCCAATTCTCTAATCAGTTGATCTTTCTGATAACCAGCACCTTACCAGTCTACCTAGGGGATCCAATCTAAGTCAATGAATTAGAGTAAACTCAGGTTTGATCAAAGGGGAAGTATGATATGGATAACAAAACACTTTTATTACTCAGGAAACCCCGAGGATTTTAGGAACATTGTAACAGAAACAAGGGACAAAGACCAAATATATTTCATATGATACCACCGTTATCAACTCCTAGGACTACCTAGATGGTACCTACGAAGAATTCTCTTCCCATTCTTCCTCCTCAATCTGTATACATGTTTAGACATGCTATTGGGAGGAAACACTTTCCTTCTACCAGTTTAGGTTCAGTATTCAAGAGCCTGTGAGTTAACAATAAACAAATTAATAGGAAAACAACAAACCCTGCAAGTTCTATTTATAACTTGTAGAAGCATTCAGATGAAGAGGCTTGCTGACCACTAGCAATAGGAGTTTATATTCCAACTTAATAGGGAAAATGGAGGCGAGAAAAGGGCTTCTATGGAAAGACAAGTGGGCTTTTAGAGATGACAAGTGAAAGGTTGGATAAGATTTATTTACATAGGAGCCAGCAGGTGGCATGGTGGTTAAAGGCATTGGACTCCCACATGACTGACTGTGGTTTGAGTTCTGGACCTGGCAGCTTGCTATCTAATTTCTCTCTCTCTCTGTCTGTCTCTCCCCCCCAGTCAAATTAAAAAAGAAAGAGAAAGAAAGAAAGAGAGTTAAATAAAGTAATTCTTTAAAAAAAAAGATTTATTTACATAATTTTCTTGGAATGTCCCCTGTCTGGGATCTCCCTTGGATGGGGGCCTAATGGCTATGGTACTTTGGAAGACCCTGCTTTAGTTAGTTAAGATTGTTCTCTGGGAGTCCAGTGCCCCAACCACCATGCCACTGCTGGTCCCACATGACCAACTGTGGTTCGATCCCCAGACCTGGTGGCTTGCTTTCTCACTTTTCTTTCTCTCTCTCTCTTTCTCTCTCTCTCTCTCTGGTGAGCATGTATACCCTATAGAAAACTTTTACTTTGGAAGACCCTGCTTTAGTTAGTTAAGATTGTTCTCTGGGAGTCCAGTGCCCCAACCACCATGCCACTGCTGGTCCCACATGACCAACTGTGGTTCGATCCCCAGACCTGGTGGCTTGCTTTCTCACTTTTCTTTCTCTCTCTCTCTTTCTCTCTCTCTCTCTCTGGTGAGCATGTATATCCTATAGAAAACTTTAAAAAAAAGATAATAATAAATTAAATTAAATAATTTTTAAAAGATCTCTCTCTGTATTATAATTCAAAGGCTTGCTTTCTCACTTTTCTTTCTCTCTCTCTCTTTCTCTCTCTCTCTCTCTGGTGAGCATGTATACCCTATAGAAAACTTTAAAAAAAGATAATAATAAATTAAATTAAATAATTTTTAAAAGATCTCTTTATTGTAATTCAAATGTTCAGTTTAGTTCTTTTGTAACTGAGCCATAAGAAAACTAAGTGACTCTATGTTATTCTTAGTTTTGGAACCCATCTTAATAGATTAAACCTTAGGAAAATTAATCTTTAACTTCTATCTTTCACTTCCCTCACAATGAGTCTTACAGAGTCTAATCTTTTACCTCCCTCACAGTAGATGGAGTTGATTGCATGTTTTCCAGGTCTCTAGAGCTGGGATACAAACCACAGGGTCAGCCATGTGGGATATGGTTGCCTTAATCATCTATTAATAAATGGAAGTTAACAAGAACTTTGCTGCATCTTTACAGAAACTGACTTAGGTAGACAGGGAGGGGAAAGACTCTACTGCCCCCTTCCATTTAAGTGGCTGAAGAAGTTTATCAGCTTAAGCATTGCAAAGCCACACCTAGACCTTCACCGCTTCTACAGAAGGACAAGTTGTCCAGTTGTCTTGACTGGTTCCATTTTGCTTTTACTGTCTTGTTAATCACTGCTTACCTTTATGCTTCTAGGAAAAACCTGAAACCAGTCATTCTGTCCTGCATGCCTACAATGGAAATTGTCCCCTAAGCAGTGAGTGGCCCGATTCTATCAAGTCTCCTTGTAATCCAGGCTTCTTGTCATTTTGCCCCAAGGCAATGCATAATGCACCTTTTTCTTCTAGATATACACTCTTGCTGACCTCTCCCCCTGTGTAAGTGTTGTATCCTGTTCAGTATGGTGGACATAGCTATAGACTCTGGTCCTCTCTCTCCAGGGTCAGCCTCACCAAAGTAAATTTCTTTTTTTTTTTTATTCACTAATTCTTGTCTCTGTCAAGCAGCGAGTGTCATGGACCTAATTTCTGGTCCCCAGAATGAGCATTCTGCCATCACTTGCACACACATACACCCCTCCTTCCTTTAGTAGCTAGTCCTCATATATTTCCACTCCTCAATTTGTTTTCAAATATTCAAAGAGAGAAGAGAAAGGTGTGAAGATTGCCTCTGAGAAGAATCATTCCCTCTAGCAAATGAGACAAAGGCTTCTGTGTTGTGGTCATGGAGCCGATGGGCACTATTCTTTGAGTTTTTGAGCATATGAAGGTGCATACATGTTTATATATTAAAGAAGAATTTAAAAAGGATAGGAGAAAAAAAATAATTCCATAGTACAGACTTCTTAAATACCTGCAGTTTAAGCTCTTTATTATAAGAAAAACATGAAAAGTCCTTCAGTCAGGAAAAGTAAATGAGTCTTAATGATCTAGCACATGTTTAGTACTCTGGCTTATTGGGTAATTTGAAAGTTTAAGAAGAGAAAAAGAAAATTTCTCTATCATTTCTTGATCTTATCAGACCCAAATATAATAACAATGGCAAATAATACAGAGCTGCCTATCTTCCCAAATAATTAATGCTTTTTTCCAACAGCTGACTTTAGTGGGTAACCAAAGCAAACATTTTATAAACACCTCCTTGTGATGAAGTAGCAAAAGCCCTGGATGAGTAGCCTTAAACTGGGTTTATTTTGTCTCAGCTCTTTACTGATTATACAGTGCACGGCAAATCTCTCAACTTCAACTTTCTATATAGAACAGCACCATCAGCATCAGAAGGCAACGTGGTATTAAAATGAGATAACTCACATGAAGCTCTTTGAAAATGCTTGAATGCTATATACAAACAAATAGTGAGTAAATTCCAGAAGATGGGCTCTGAGGGAGGAAAACTGACCAGGACTATAAACGAAAGCTTGGTATAGAAAAGCCCAGACATGACAGGGTTATGTCTCCACCTCTCTTTGATGCAATGTATTGAATAGATGGGCTACATAAAGAAAAAGAGTACAAACTAAGCAGAGAAATAGCCTGGGACAACTGCGATGCACTACTGACTGCTATTCAAGGAGTAAGTTAAAGGCCAGCTGCTGGCTACAGCCCCTAGCCCCTGCAGGGTGGCCTCTATCCGTCAAAGTGCACAGGCAGCTCTGGGTTACCCTCACACGCAATGACAATGCGCCTAGTGCTTGCCTTGGCCCTGTATTTGCAGTTGGGGGCCCTGGAACTTCCTGTCTCCCTGCAGTCTGTGACCTTCACTACACCCTCATGGCAGTTCATCTTGCCATTCTTGCACGCGATGTTGGTGGTGCTGCAGATACTACGAATGTTCCAGATGTCCTCATGGATAAAGGTGTTGAAGCGCTTGCACTGGTGCAGAGTCATCTTCCGCCTTTGCATCATCACGTTGCAGTAGCTGTCATTGCCACCTGTTTCCTCAGGGTGCACATGTTGCCGCAGGAATCGTTGGTACATGAAATTCTGGCCATAGGAGGGCTGCACCAACCCCAGCCCCAGCAGGGTCAACAGCAAGAGCAGAAGCAATGGGTGGGTCCTCTGCAGAGCCATCACTGCTTAGAGGTCTGGAAGAGAAAGCAAGGGCCGAGATAAAAAAGAAGGTAAGAACTAGGCACTGGATAGTGGTATGGAGAGTGGCAAGCTGACATTTCTTTGATTCCAAAGTCTCGTCTTTCCTTTTTCTTATATGTACCGTTTTCTCACTCTTTTCTCCTCACAACCTTTCCCACTCTGTTTATCAAAAGTGAATACTTTGCAAAAGTGATTTTCTCTGAAAGCTCTCTCTCTTTGTTTCTAAGACGACACATGTGGGGACAGCAGGTGGCATGGTGGTTAAGGCACTGAACTCCCACATGGCCAACCGCAGTTCACATCCCAGACCTGGAGGCTTGCTTTCTTACTTTCTCTCTCTCTCTCTGGTGAGTGCATGTGCCCTATAGCAAATCAAAAGATAATAAGAATAAATAAAATTAAATAAATAATTATTTTAAAAAATACTAGTAAAATAAGTACACGATTTATTATAGATAGAGAGAGAAAGAGACAGAGAAGGCGAAAACACTCCCCGGTAGGGAATAGTCAAACCATAATACCTTCTCCTCCATTTCTCCATCCTGTCGGGACTCTCGGCATGCATGTGCTTGGCGTGGTTTTTAGGCCCCTGGAGCTGAGATTCAAACCACATAGTCAGCCATGTGGGATCCACTTGCCTTAATCACTGGACCATGGGACTGGCCCGAGATTTTCTCTTTTATACAGAGAAGTTGCTATAGCCAGTACTTAGTACTCAGGGTGGGACTGAATGACTGGATGGCTGTCCAGGTCAGTGTAGTCAGACTACAAAAGCAGAGGAAAGGTAAATTTAGATGAAATTGGAGTTGTATACCTTCTGAGGCAATTTGCTAATTGTATGATTTTGAGGACTGTTTAGTTTCCTGGAGACTTTGAGACTGGAAGGTTTGGATAGAATCAGGATGTCAAAGTATGTTTATAAACTTATTTTAATACCTCACATCTCGGAATCTGGAAAGGTGGAGAAAGGGAATAGAGTACTATTTAGGTGTAGCCTTGCCTCTCACGTGGCTATTCTTCTAATGGTGTCAAATCTAATGATTCTACATGGAAATCTTGTTAATCCTGTTCAAATGAAAAACAGAACATCCACATCCTCCCACATAGCATAGCAGCTAGGTTCTGTGTGTTGGGAGCCAGATCCCACGTGGCCGAGACTGGTTCTGCTGCAAACAACCCGATTGCTGAGAAACCAAGCGCCCGTGGTCCCTGAGGAGCTTGTATCCAAAGGCTGGGCCCAGACTTGCAGAAGTTAGTCATATAGTCTGGGTCATGGATGTTGCAGGCAAAGGAACTAGGAAGAGTCGCAAAACAGTTGCAATCCAGTTTGTAGCATTTCCCTGTAGGCACTTGACAAAGGTGGAACAGAAACACTTTTTGTTTGCAAGCAACATTTAGCAAACAGGGTCCATGTCAGTTCAAGTCCTGATCTTAAAAAACAAAACATTGACTTAAAAAACAAAATGATGACAAAAAAACAAAAACAAAAACAAAACACTGGGGTGTGTGTGTGTGTGTATGCCCTAGATCCTGAAAGGAAGGAGAAATGGAAGAAAAAGGTGTGGCCACATCCCATTGGGAGGTGCTTTCTTTCTCTCACTGACAAGCACACGAGCCCTTTGGCAATAGGAGAAAAGAACACAAACCAAGAACCAGTATCCAAACAGTGCTTTCATGATAGTAGATAAAAAATAATTGCTTGAATGAGCTAATAAATGAAATAAATGAACTCATGAACAAATACAATTAAATGGTTGTGAAGAGGGAAGGTATTTTCCAAGCTTGTGTACTTAGCTAGTAAGACAAGCTAAGAAATAGTTTAAAGATACATCTATACAGCATGATGTCCTCAAAAGAGGATTTGGATTGTGTCTTTTTCTTCTGGTTTCTATGTACAACCTGAAAAACTGGGCCTTGGGGCCAGCAGGTGGCATAGTAGTTAAGGCCCTGGACTCCACATGACTGCCTGCGGTTCGAATCCTGGACCGGGTGGCTTAAAAATCAAGCCAGGTGTGTGTACCCAAAACCCCAGAAGTAGAGTGGAGTGTGGAGAGCAACCAATCTGAAAACATGTGATTAAAACATTTAGGCCACATGTTTTAATCACATGTTTTCCGATTAGCTGCTCTCCACAGTGGAGGAGAAGGGATTGTGATGGCTCCAACTCCCCTGGAGGGTGATTTCTCACTTTCCCTCTTAGTCTCTCTTGGTTTCTCTCTGGTTAGCGTACTTGCCCTATGGCAAAACCTAAAACAAAACAAAAACTAGGCCCTAGAGACACATTCCATTGTCACACAGCTACTCTAGATGTTCTTTTTATCTTGTCAATAGCTTTTAGTAATTGTCTTCTCTAGTTCTAGAATCATTGTGTCATCATTTCTTGAGAGTGGAAAACAAATATATAATTTAAGTGTAAAGGAAAAAAAAATCCTTCAGAGCAGCAACAAAGAAAGCATTGCCATGTTGTTTCAGAAAATTCATTGCTTTTGTTGGTCAATTATAAAAAGAACACTAGGGGTTGGCAAATGGCTGGTGGTTAAGGGTGCTGGACTCCCACGTGACCAACCACGGTTTGAGTCCCAGACCTGGTGACTTGCTTTCTCATTCTCTCATTCTCTCCTCACCCCCACCCCCATCCCCGGTCAAACTAAGAAAGAAAGTGAGTCCAAGAAAATAATTTTTTTTTTTTTTGAGAGGTGGTGCGTGCGCTCGCCAGAAAGACAGAAAGCGAGAAATCATCCCCCCAGGGCAGATGGCCACACCGCAATCCCTTCTTCTCCACTCTCCTCTCGGGATCTTGGGCATGCACACACACACACACACACACACACACACACTGAGTGAGTTTAAGCCACCTTGTCTGGGATTCAAACCATGGTCAACTACATGGGAGTTCAGTGGCATAGTCATTATGCAAACTGCTTATCCCCCAAGAAAATAATTCTAAAAAAAATTAAAGGAAACCAAGTCTTTCTGACTCTAAAACCTGTGCTCTTTCCACAACCTTCTACTGCCTTTCTCAACCCACTCCCAAATATTCATGACAGACATTTGTGATCAGAATTGCTTCTCTCCAGCAGCAAACACTCACCACCACTGACCAGTCAGATGCTCCCATCTGGTGGTCACTACCGGAATTGATGTTAACTGTGAATCCTTTTGACTCATGCAGTGAGAGGCAGAGTTGACTGGTTAGAACAAAGAAATACCCTGATACAACAGGAAGCAAGCGATTGAAAGTAGGAAGGACAATTTTCTGAGAGTGAGACACCATATCTCTACATACATAGTCCAAGGGCTGGCCCAGCTGAACCCTTGGCGTATATGAGTATATATCCTTTGTTTACTAACATCATGTTTCATGATGGCAGGTCACATGAGTGAATGAAATGGCTTATCAGGAAGGGGCCTAGATGTTGCTCCTAAAGCTGATCCTTTAATTGGTGATCTGACTGGCATAACTATCATTCTTTTGAAAGTCACCTTCTATCACACAGCCCTCTTTGGCCTTTGCACAGAAAGAGATAAAGCTCTATCTCATACTCTTGTGCTCGCAGTTGTAGATATGAGATACAGTTAAGAGGACAGTAAAGGATCTGTGGGAGGAAGTGTAGCAGAGAAAGATAATGCTTGATTTACCCTTGGTTCCCAGACAAATGGATACCATCTTGGAAGGGACATGTAGTTAATAGGGCTATAGCTTCAGTGGAACAATGTACTTCGGGTTATTCTTAGAGGCAGCGTTACTCTTATTTATTTTATTTATGGAGAGGTTTTTGCTAGAGAGTGCGTGCGCTTGCCAGACAGACAGAGAGAGACAGAGAGCTAGAAAGCCAGAAATCACCACCCAGAGGGGATGGCCACGCCACAATCCCTTCTCCTCCATTCTCCTTGCGGGATCTTGGGCACGCATGCACACGCGCCCGACGTGAGTTTAAGCCACCGGGTCTGGGACTCGAACCGTGGTCGACTATGTGGGAGTCCAGCAACATAGCCATTACGCCAACTGCTGGTGCCAAGGCAGGGGGACTCTTACAAGACTTTATCCATTTTCTTTCATTCTGTTTCTTTGTGATGAAGAATATGATTTAGCAAGATACCTGGCTACAAAGAGGACCTAAGTTATTCATGCAAGAGCAAACCCAACCCTCGGCTACATGAGTGAACAGGACACAGAAAACTATTTGGGGACAGTAGTCCAATGCAGACATCAATGGGTATATCTAGGTCATTGGGAAAGTCGTGACGTATTTTCTCTGCAAGAATACGTCATGACTTTCACGACAACCCAATATAAGAGAAAATAAAATAACTTCCAAATCTTCCAACATATACTTTTTCATCAGAATTTGCTCCAAAGGCTTTCCACACTGCATGACTCTGACTCTCAATGAGAACCTCTTTTGATACTGTGGTCCAGACCCCACTATGCCACACTAAGTGACTGAGAGAAATTACTTAACCTCTCTCAGCATACTTTCTGTTAAGTAAAATGAAGATAACAATACCAACCTGTTAGGGATGTTACCAGAATAATGAGAAAAATCAATGTTATCTGCTTACATATTGCCTTGTGCATGTTAAGTGCCCAGTAAATGTTGGCAATTTTTTTTTTAACTTTTTCCATTTTTCCTGGTTTTCTCTGCTTCCTTCAATCGGAATAAAATAATGAATGATTATACTGAGTTGCATCTATTATTGACCCTTCTTTATTTTGTTGAGTTTAACTTTATTTCTAAGAAATTGGAAGTCTCTTTTTAAAACTGTGAAATAGCCACTGGAATTTATGCTGTGTCCCTAGGGACATGTTTCCTCACCAAATTGCACAGAATCTTCTTCCCGTATGCCACCATTCTTCAGAAAGCTTGACATTTTGGAGTTTTTATTCTCTTCTCTGGGCAAAGCCAAGAATCACAGTTGTACAGGATTTCAATTCTTCAAATGGTTTGAGATAAAATGACTTTCCTGAGACTTGACATTTTATTCTAAACAGCTTGTGGTTGTCACTAAACACAAAACCCAGAGGAAAGAGTACTAGGATTGGCTACCCAGCTATTAGCTCCATCAGCAGGTCAGGAAGCACTCCCATCCCATTGCCATGTGGTTTCTTTCTTTTCTTTTTTAAAGAATTAGTTATTTAATTCCATTTGTTGTTATTAATTTTTAATTTGTCCAGACAGAGACAGAGAGAGAAAGGGAAAGCAAGAAGGCAAGCCACCAGGTCCAGCACTCAAACTGCAGTCAACCGTGTGGGAATCCTGCGCCTTTAACCACCACGCCATCTGCCGCATCTGCCATGTGGTTTCTATGGAACAGTCATCTCCCCTAACACCAGAGCAGGGCACGCTATGGCAATACTCCAAGTGAAAGAGAAGATGAGAGTTTTCACAGCTCCAGTGTTACGTAATATCGGTCCATGCCTCTGACCTTCTTCATTAAGGCCTTGAGTGAGGTGATGATCTTGAGTGATTTGGGAAAGGGGTTCAAATATTCTACCCGAAATGCAAACTTTCTCATTTCCTGGGAAAGTTTTAAGATTTTTTCTAGTAAGGGAGATTTTCTAATAAGAGAGGACTGGAAAACCTTCTTCCTACTTTCTTAGGAAATGATAGCATTTTCAATGTTGAGATGGACTAACCCAAGGTGAAATGATTCCGGTGATGAGTGTGCACAGGCAACTTCAATCCCCTTCCTAAATCTAAGTACTTCAGGTGAGACTGGGCTCTCCCAGGTGGGGTATACTAGTCTGTAACTGGGGTTTTGGGGAGCCAGGGCCCATTTCAGGGCAATGAAAGCAGCGGGAGAGGCCACCATAGGAAATTCTGTGGCCACTATAGTCATATAGTCACAAGAGTGAAACCAGTGATTTATAACCATAATTTATTATCAACCAGGCATATAGTGATAGAAATGAGGAAACTAACACTGAATCTGGTTGATTGGCATATTTTATGAACAGAGTCCCTCTTTACCTCAGGTTTTGCTTACTCAAAAGCAAATCTAGTTGAAAATAATAAGAGATGAACTTTCAACCTGTCTATAACTTCCCTAAGACCATATCAGCTGATAAAGTAAAAAATTTAAAAGAAAGTAACACTTAGTTATCAAAATTTTAAATCTGAGAATATCCTGGGAGCATTCCATTTCAACCAACATCCATAGTACCTCCTTCTTAAAACAATTGGTGGCTACACTGAATGGACTTTGATATTCATTCTGGATTATGTGCGTGAATACAGGTGTGTGTGTGTGAGTGTGTGTGTGTGTGTGTGTTTGAAGGAGAAGGATAGATAATATAATTAATTTGTCGGTATGTGAGTACTTAATCCTAAATTCTTCTCTCCTAGGTCTCACATTTGTAAAAGTAGTATTCGCTTATTATTTGACAGAAAAATAAAACAATTTACCTTTCTTGAAAATTCTGCCCTAGAATTTTTCCAACTCTGTAGATCAACCTATTATCCTTCCCTTCACAGAAAGGTAAAGTCTAACTCTCTTTTAGCTGATAAGGAAAAGGCATTTCTATTCCATGCAGTCCTCCCTCTCAGGGAGTAGCTTAGCTGAGTAGAGAAAATGAGGAAAGGTCAATATGCCAAGAATCAGTAAACACTGGTTCTTGCTGATTTCAGAGACATCTTTATTTATTAAACAAGTGAAACAGAAGGAAAAAAGGTCCAGATGTCTCATGTTCTGGGCCCCTGAGCGTTACCGCCTCTGTCCTGGGGCGCAGAGGGGAAACAAGAGGAACGAGGAGCAGAGCCAGCCCAGCCCATGGCCTGCTGGTTAAGTACTAATGAAGGACTCGTCGAAGTGGACAGGTAGGCCATCTTCGCAGACCACAGCAATGTTTCTGTATGACGGTTTGGCTCGGTAACGGCATGGAGGCCGGGAGGACCCTCCTCTGTGTTCGCAGGTAGTGATCTGGAAAGCAGATGCACTTTCTTTCCTTTCTTGCTGACGGTTTCCATTCGGATTTTCACAGATGGCCTTGATCTTTCTAGTGTTGGCATGGATAAAGGTGTTGGTATCTTTGCAAGGTCTGGTCAGGCCTCGTCTCTGCATCATGACGTCGCAATATCTGTCATTCCGGCCCTGTGGTTTGTCATCATAGTGCTTGGTCAGGAAGGCTCTGTATCTCGGGTTATTTTGAGCCAGGGTCGGTGGGGTCAGACTCAGACCCAACATGAAGACCAACAGCAAGGGGCCCAGACCCATCATCTCTTCAAACAGAGGCTCCTGCCAAGGGCAAAAGGAAGTATGATAGGGACACAGAACAGCATTGCCAAATTAGGCTAAAAGGATGGGATTTTCTCTCTGACAGAGAATCATGAATCAGGGATCCGCAGCCACCTAATTACATCTTTTCCTTTCTTCATTAACCTTACACTTCTTGTCCATCTATTCCTTTGGAAAATCTATTCAGTAGTTTCCAGAACACAGCCTCCAGCTCCAGCCATTCTTTTCTGTTCCTTAAGATCACTGAGCATTTTTCTATCAGTTGTAGTGTTACAATTCCATTTACACTCTTTAATTCATTCATTTACTAACAAATACTATATAGGTTTCTATTGGTACCAGGTACTGTGCTAAGTCCTGAGACACAAAAACCATTCAGATATACCAAATACTTCCCTAGAAGGGGATGTGACATCCCTAGGGAAGACAAGAGAGTTTCGTTTTACTGAGAGAAGACAGTAATGCACTTTCCTGAGAGGATATGGCAATAGAGACGAGCGTTATGAAGACAGATTTTAGGGACCCCTGAGCCCAGGGAAGGTCAGTTGGAGGCTTGTTGAAGACAGGATCCTAGGTACTCAAGTTAGTTGTCGGTTAGCTGCATAAACAGCAGCAAGAGCAGTTCCACCCCGAGGTGAAGGGAGGCAAGCCTGCTTCCCTAAGAAGTGGGTGGTTCATGTCTAAAGGTGGAATTACCACATACCACAAGGGGTTTTTTTAAAGGCTCATGATAAATGCCTATAGTAAGAAAGCGACATACATATGGGTTTCCAATTTTTTGCACCAAATTAAATTTGTACTTTAATCCCATTTTTCCGCAAACTTTTTGAAGTCCTCTTGCATTTACAAAGAACAGGGAAAAATACATGTCATGCTTGGAAATGGGTCCGTGGTCAACTCTTGCAGAAGAGAAAGATGAATTCAAGCTTCTTCTTAGGAGCTTTTTCTATTAGGAGCAATTTGGATTATTCTAGAGAATATTTTTAATTTATCCTATAAGCAAATGGCATTACCATGTGGTAAAAAGCTCTGATCTTCTCATCAAATCAAACACCTTACAATTTGCTATAATGACTTCTTAACATCTCCCTCAAAAGAAGAGATGGGACTAGCAGATGGCGTAATAGTTACATCGCTGGACTCCGATGTAGTCGACTGCAGTTCGAGTCCTGGACCTGGCGGCTTAAGCCTCACACCAGGCGTGCACACACGTGTGTGTGAGTGCTCAAGATCCCTGAAGGAGAAGAAATTGCATTGCAGCATGGCCATTCTTCCTGGGGGGTGATTTCTCACTTTCTGGATCTCTGTCTCTGTCTCTCCAGTGAGCACATGCACTCTATAGCAAAAGTCTCTCAAAGAAGAAGAGAGGCCAGCAGGTGAAGTAGTGATTAAGGTGTTGGATTCCCACATAACCAACCATGGGTTCTAGTCCCAGACCTGGCAGCTTGAAACACACACACACGCCATGTATCATGCTGGGTACATGTGTGTGCCCCAAAAATCCCGAGAGGAGAATGGAGGAGAAGGGATTGCAGCATGGCCATCACCCCTGGGGGTGACTTCTCACTTTCTCTCTCTCTGTCTCTCTGGCAAGCACATAAGAAAGAGTAGATTCCTGCCATCATCTCTCAAAAACTGTTAGCCATAAACTCTAGAACTCACATATCCCAGGGATGGTTTGTTGTGTACACACAAACACCCCTATAGGGTAGATACAGTGCTTTGTCCTGGGGCATGATTTTAACTAGATGATAGGTCACTGAAAATAGAATTAAACAAATATGGATTATAGCAAAATACAAAACAATTTTCTTATGAACTTTTAAGATTGTGGGTATTTTTTTTGGGGGGGAGAGGTTTTTGCTATAGGGTGCGTGCACTCGCCAGAAAGACAGAAAGAGACAGAGAGACAGAAAGTGAGAAATCGCCACCCAAGGGGGATGGCCACACCGCAATCCCTTCTTCTCCATTCTCCTCTCAGGATCTTGGGCACGCACACACATGCGCCCAGCGTGAGTTTAAGCCACTGGGTCCGGGACTCGAACCGCAGTTGACTACATGGGAGTCCAGCGACATAGCCCTTATGTTAACTGCTGGTCCCAAGATTGTGTTCTTTATGAGGCAAGCTGACTATACCTTCAGTTCTTCAGAGAAAATTAAAAAAAAAAAAACATTCAGAGGCTTGAAAAACTACCATAGAGGGACCAGCAGATTATGTGATGGTTACGGTGCTGGACTCCCACGTAGGTGACTGCAGTGCAAGTTCTGGACCCAGCAGCTTCACACTCGCACCAGGCACGTGTGCATGCGTGACCAAAATCCTGAGAGAATGGAGGAGAAGGTGTGGCCATTCCCCCCGGATGATGATTTCTCGCTTTCTGTCTCTCTGTCTCTATCTCTCTGGCAAGCGCATGCACCCTATAGCAAAAATCTCTCTCTAAAACAAACAAACAAAAAATACCACCATAGATTTATCCCACACTATAGCAAATATATATTAGTGCCCTCATATCTGACAATGAAAATTACCTTTTTATAGTAAAATATTAACTGAATTTTTAAAAAAATTGATATTAAATTATTTGTCTATGAATAATTTATTTCATTTGTGATTGGCCAAAATTTCTTAGTAGTCATCATACATACTGAGATGTTCATAACGTGGGAGGAAAATCTATCCTTCAAATTATTCTTAAAGTAATACGATTCTTATGAATTTTAAATCTTAAAATGAATGGTACACTTTAATAGACATTAAATTAATAAGCTATTAATTTTTATTTTGTAAGTTGATAAACAGTTTAACATCACCTGCTTTGTAACCCTTCAAAAGACCATGGGACCTAGAACGAGGCCTAAACAGAATTGAAAGACAAAGAAGTCTGAGCTCCTATTGGTTACATGGGACGGCATATGACAGAGGGAGCATTTGCCACTGACCCACCTTGTTTGCTTCATAACAACCATAAGACAAATTTGGTCCGTCGCTGAAGAATATCTATACTAGAGGAACTTTTGGTCATTCCACAATACTGGAATAAATAGCAGCTGGAAAAGTTTTCATGAAGCACGTAACTTACCATGTGTAACAGAATCAAGTGAAAGCATGTTCCTGGGAGTTTCTCAAGAAAGTGGTACATGCTTGGAAAAGAGAGAGCTACCCCTAAAAGAACAGGGACACGTGGCTGCTGATTCATCATAGCTGCTGGGCTGCCTGCCCTGCTCCCCACTTGCCAAGTTACCTATGTGTACGTTGTGCTCTTCTGCCTTCTGAGTGTGTTTTTTATTTCTAGTTTTTGGGGCTTTTGGAAGATCTTATCAAAGTTTCATTGATTTGTCATCAATTAAACTTCTTATTCTGTAATGGACTAGTATGGACTTCTAATGTCAAAGGCAACTGTAGAATTGCAGGATCTCAAGGTCAGAGGATCTTAGAGGTCATATAGTCAACATCCCTTTGCCAGGTGCCAGAATCCAAGTTCAAAAATCATTAAGTGTGGGAACCAGCGTAATGGCTATGTCGCTGGACTCCCACGTAGTCGACCGTGGTTCGTGTCTGGACCCGGTGGCTTAAAACCCACGCCGGGTGCGTGTGTGTGCGTGCCCAAGATCCTGAGAGGAGAATGGAGGAGAAGGGATTGAGGCGTGGCCATCCCCTCTGGGGGGGTGATTTCTCGCTATCTGTCTCTCTGTCTCTCTCTGTCTTTCTGGCGAGCGCACGCGCCCTATAGTGAAAAACCTCTCAAAAAAAAAAAAAAAATCAGTTAAGTAGATTCAGAGCTGGCAGTACCTAAAATAGTCATTAGGTGGCGGTAGCATATAAGAATGTCGTCAGCACCTTCCAAGCCGGAGAGGTCCCCAGCCTTTTTGGCACCAGGGACCCGTTTTGTGGAAGGCAATTTTTCCACAAACCAAACCAGAACAGGGGTGTAGGGAGGGGGTGGAGGTTTGAGATGATCCAATCACATTACATTTATTGTGCCTTTTTTTCTATTATTATTACATTGTAATATACAACAAATTCAGCTCACCATAATGCTCAGTCAGTGGGAGTCCTGAGTTTGTTTTCCTACAACTAGCTAGTCCCATCTGGGAGCTCCTATGAGAATCAAACGCTGCCACTGATCTGATAGGAGGCCATCATGCCTGCCATGGGGAACAGCTGTAAATTCAGGTGACGCTTCTGTTGCTTGCCTGCAGCTCACCTCCTGATGTGCAACCCAGTTCCTAACAGGCCACCAGCAATACCAATCTGTGGCCTGAGGCTTGGGGACCCCTGCTATAGAGAGTTCTGGAAGGAAGTCCTGTGGTTGTACAGGTTGTGGGATATTGATGTTCATAGATGAGGGCTGAACAGGCAGGCCTGCTACAAGTTTCAGTCTAAACTCTCTCTGCTTTAGATATTATGACCAAAGACCTCACTAAACATAGTGTCAAAGCAAAGGCCACATAGCTCAGGATCTGCCCATAAGGATATCACAATTATTTACCTGTTGTCAGGTCACATGGATGCCATCTCAAGTATGCCATTACCTAAGTGGTCTTGGGCAAACAACGAACTTTTTACTTTTCAGTGTTTTCCTGTAGTGTATTGTCTACAGGAAGGCAGGCCTATAGTGATCACCTTGAATCACTGTGCTTGCCTACTAACAGGCTGTCAATAATTTGTTAATGACTGGCTTCATTTTCCTCTCCGGATCTAAGTTTTTTCATGTGTAAAACGAGAGAATGAAATTCCATGGTTCCTATTAAACTTAACAAAGTCTTTACAGAGTATCATTAGCAAAAGTCAAGTGATTATGGAATTATTGATGCAGTCTGCATAAGTTTAGTTGGTGGAACAATGTACCAGCTAAAGGAGATGATAGCGTGACCTGCGGCATGACCAATCTCATTGAGATGCATCATCCCTTAAGGCTCAATGTGTAAGCCAGGCCCACAAATCACCTCCAGTTAAGGCTTAGACACATTACACAGGAGCTTTGCCTTCTAAAAAAAGCACTTGACTTCTCCAGTTTGGAGAGACAAAGGGGCATCTTTACTTCTGACTTGCACAATTTTTACTTTACATCTTTACTTCTGACTTGCACATTCATTTTTTAAAAACTCAGCTAAGGTTTGCTCAGGTATGTTTTAATCTTTTTTTTTCCCCCTCTAATTTGCTGTAGGGTATGGAGAGAGAGAGAGAAAGCACCCTAGAAAGATGGCCACACCATAATCCCATCTCCATTCTCCTCTTGGGATGGATTTGGGCACACACACACACACCCAGAATATTTTTCAAGTCACTGGGCCCAAGACTTGAACTGTGCGGTCAGTGATATGGGATCCAACCACCTGAACCACCATACCACTGCCCAGGCATATTTTAATTTTGACTGTATAAGTTACCCCGAAGCCAAATCCCAATAACCATATACCATGATTACTGATACCTAACATCTGCTCTATCACCCACAACTTCCTCATTCATATATTCAATTCTAAATATCCCCCGCCCCCCCAAAAAACACAGGTAAAATGGAAATGGGAGAAACCAAGTAAGATATTATTTGTAGTACAAAAGAATATGCCTAATCTGAGGGTCCAGAGTCTCACACTGGTGGTAAAACTTGGAGACATATTGTTTTATGTCCCACAATTTGTTGTGAAATTTGTTCCAACTCTTCTTCATGCTAACTTTACCCTCACCTCAAATCAATCCATTAGTCTTCACGAGAATTAATATTCTCTTCCTTTCTTTACAGGCAATGTTTTGAAGTCAAGAGATCCATCATATTACACCCCAGAGAGTTCACTTGACAGTTTATCATGAGTAATTACTGCTGTCATTTTCATAAGTATAGGTTCACACTGTTACATATATCCTAGGGCAATATCCCCCAAGTGAAAGTTCAACACAACACACATATTCCTCACTTTATTTCCCTTCTTCCTTTCAACCTGCTAGTATACATTTTCTCTCTTTCTTCTTCTTCTTTTTTTTTTAATCTTAGGATGCATTCCACTTGGTTTTCAACGAGCATCCAAAACTTCCTAAGAAAAGTAGTTAGCAGGGAGATTAGAAGGAAACAGTGATCGAGCATACTTTCTATTTCCTTTGTCTATTTTCCTTTGTCAAGTCACATATAATGCCTACGTGGGGATGGAGAAGGAGAAGGATCCCAGAAGTTCTTTAGCAAATCTCTTCCCTGGACTTTCAGGAATTTTATCATAAATTAGGAATTTCTCCTAAACCTCCGTTTACTCCCAGTCTCATTAATTTCCACTTATCTACATATAAGTTATCTCAGAAGAAGCCCATTTTCATTTTAAACTTAATAATCAAACTCATTTTCTTACACATTCATTAGTTTCGGCCTAGAGTCTTTAAAGGAGGGAGGAAGTGGATGGCGGCTAGAAATAGTGTACATATATAAATAAATAGAACAATAGATTACCCAAGAGAAAGAATCTTACCAAAATCTCCCAGTTCTCTTCCTACTGCAAATGGGATCCAGCTATTCGTTCCTGGAGATGGGTTCCAGCTGTGTGAATGTGGAGGCCCACCCTGGTTCTGGTTATATAGCCTCATGGGAAGGGAGTGGAGACAATAGATCTAGGGACCTCCAATCATGGCAGAGAAGGGAAAGCGAGGGCACTGCTCTTGGATAAACAAGGAGAGTCATTCACCTTTTCCCTGGGCATGATTGGGTCAAATATTAATCCACTAGAATGAACTAGATATGTGTTCTGGAAGACAAAAGTTTGATAAACATGGCCTATTGTCCCAAAGCTGCCTTTCCCTGATGCCTGTGGTCCTTCCTCTTGCCCCTGATGGCACTGAGGTTTCGTAGTCCCCATGCAGCCCCTCCAGGAGGATGCTTTCCCACCGTACTTCCTGTTTATCCTTGTAATTCGGTTTTATGAAAGGTCACTGAGAGGATTATTCCACAGATTTCACAGATCCAAGAAAGCACTTCTAGGGAGTGTTATGTGACAGATGTTAGCACCCACCTTAACTACTCAGCTACTAACCCCAGAAATAGCCTGGTTATATCTTCTGGGCCACCTTTTCCTTTCATCCTCATTTTCCATAAGAAACTAAACCTAAACACTCAATCATTGTCACACAAGTACAAAATTGATTTTTTAAATTATCTTGTTTGTTTTTAAGTTGCTACAGGGCACATGTGCTCACCAGAGAGACAGAGAGAGAGAATGAGAAATCAAGCCGCCAGGTCCAGGACTCAAAGTATTGTCAGCCATGTGGGAGTCCAGTACCTAAACCACCATGCCATCTGCTGGTCCCAAAACTGATTATCTTGATTTTCTCCAATCATCAATGCAATATTGATATTACATTCACTCACAAAGTAGATTCACATGTACATGAAAACAGTGGACCAAACGTTACCAAGATGACTTTATGAAGCTTATAGTTTCAAATTAGCACTTACCTGTGTAGGTGTTGCATCTAACATAGTTAGAAGTTATCTTTTTAAGAATCCTCAACCTTCCAGTGATCCACCCACCTCCAAATATTCATTTGACCAGGTATCAACCAGACAGGCTGCCTGCCTGTAAATCAACTGCACTCGAAGTCATCGTGATTATATATTATTATAATCATAATTGGTGTTACCTTTCGTTTATGAAGCTCTCGCATACCTGAGTACATTTAACTATCGCCAGGGCTGTGTAAGGTAGGTATTATGAAGTCTGTTTTGTTTATGAGGAAACTCTAAGATCAAACAGCAAGTGAATGGTGGAGTGAGACTTCAGACTTCATTACCAATATCTAACATCAGCTCTGTCACTCAGAACTTCCTCATTCATATCCTCAATTCTAAATCTCTCCCTTGCCCCCCAAAAATGGAAATGGAAGTGGGAGAAACAAGTAAAATATTATTTGGATATATTATTGTTTCCATCTGCAGGGAGAAAATCTATTCATCTTCCCAGACTCAGCTCAAGCAATGCCTTTTCTGAGTCTCAATGACCCTTCTCACCCATCCAATCGCTGGAGGAGTTGACCGCATCTTTCCTTGTGAATTCACTGTGCCCAACACATACCTCTACTCAGACAAGCATGGAGAAAGGGCTCCGAGTCGATGGCATGAGTTGCACCTACTCAACTTCGGCTATGCCCAGCTGTGTCCGAAAGCTGATGATGGCCCTGGGAAAGGAGTCATCCTCATAGCAGGGCATGAGAAGGGGCAGGAGAAAGTTATAAAGGCCATGGAGCAGGCTTGGTGAGGACTACAGCATGAGCTATTCACATCCCCGCTGACCTAGCTTCTGGGGTTCTAGGGAGAAGACACTCGAGTAAAAACAGAATAAAAATAAAGGTTGTGTCATAAAATCTCTCCCAGATCCAGAAAGCACAAAGCAAGTCAGTGTGAAGAGGTTTGCTAGAAGGTTGACGGGATTCTATGGGGGTGATACCTTACCCCAGTTGAGATCCTGTTGAGACAAATGTGCGGTAAGTCTGGACCTAAGAACTAAAGCTTCAGCTTCCCCAGGGAAGAGGACACAGTGCTGGCCTCTCCGGACTCTCTCAGCAGCTCTTGCACTTTGTGTGGCAGGAATAGACTTCACATAGGAGCTGGAGCAGGAAAGGAGTATGAAGGCAGCCTCACTGGGTAGGTGAAAGAGGTCGATAGGCAGGCATTTTAATACTCTCTGGGAACTTCAGGAAAGCTCAGAGAAGAATGTAAGCTGATCCGGTGTATTCTAATAACAAGGGTAGGATGGATCTGGTTTTACTTTAGGTTGGTGTAACTAGAGAAATAGCCATTAACCATCAATCCTTGGATAGTGATTGATCTCACGGTCTTTCCATTAGATACAACCCTTGGAGAGAAGAATAATGGTCTTACTCATCTCCATATTTTTAACATCCAAAACAGTGCTTGACACTTAGAGCCCAAGTTATTTCTGTGAGTCCCCATTGCTTGTAGGAATGCACCACCTGAGCTCACTTTAAAGACCTCCAACCATGCAAACTTTCTTGGTTTCTCTTAAAAGCTTATAGACATGTGGTTTGGCAGCCATTACCAAGTAAGGCAGGCTTGATTCCCAGGAAGGCTTCTAAGACTGCTTCCAGTTTACTGTTAATTCCACTTACATGCTTTCGTTTTTAAGGTATTGGCCCCCCACTCCAGTGCAAAAATCCCTCAGAGGGTAACCTCTCTAATGGCTGTCAGCAATTTACACATCCTTGGGCATGTGATTTGGAGCCTATCTTTTTTTCTAGAGGTTTTTGCTATAGGGCATGTGCGCTCGCCAGACAGACAGAGACAGAGAGACAGAAAGTGAGAAATCATCGCCCAGGGGGATGGCCATGCCACAATTCCGTCTCCTCCATTCTCCTCTTGGGACCTTGGGCATGCACGCACACGTGCCTGGCGTGAGTTTTAAGCCACCGGGTTGGGGAAGCGAACCGCGGTTGACTACGTGGAAGTCCAGCGACATAGCCATTACACTAACTGCTGGTCCCAAGCCTATCTTTTTTTAAAAAAGAAGTATTTAATTGAATTTTATTCATCATTATTATTTTTTAAAATTTAACAAGTATTTAATTGAATTTTATTCATCATTATTTTTTTTTAATTTAATAAGAGAGGGACCAGCAGGTGGTATGGTAGTTAAGCTGCTGGGCACTCACACATGGTCGACCACAGTTCGAATTCTGGACCAGGTGGCTTGCTTTCTCACTTTCTCTCTCTCTCTCTCTTTCTGTGTTTCTAGTCAAATTAAAATGAAATAAATAAATAAATATTTTCAACCATCAGGTCCAAAACTTGAACAAACTGCGGTCAGCCATACGGGAGTCCAGTGCCTTACTCGCCACCCACTGAAGCCTATCTTTTTTATTTATTTTTTTTGGAGAGGTTTTTCACTATAGGGTGCGTGCACTCGCCAGACAGACAGAGAGAGACATAGAGACAGAAAGCGAGAAATCACCCCCCAGAGGGGATGGTCATGCTGCAATCCCTTCTCTTCCATTCTCCTCTTTGGATCTTGGGCACACACGCACACACACCCAGCGTGTTTTAAGCCACCGGGTCCGGGACATGAACCGCGGTCTACTACATGGGAGTCCAGTGACATAGCCATTACACTAACTGCTGGTTCCCCTGAAACCTATCTTAAGAACAGTTTTTGGTAACTGGAAGGGCCTGAGGATTTAAGGAGGAAGGAAAGTGGGGAGTTGGGGAACCTGGAGAAGGACAGACATCAGCTACCTTTCAGTTTCGTTGGAGTCATAGCCCTGCCTGAACTCTGTTTTTTCTTCCCCTCTTTCCTTTTCCCTGAATCCCCAATCAAATCCAGAGGTAAAGGGAAAATAAAAGTATGGGTATAGTCAGAAGACCAAACGAACTGCTACAAACTGCTTTTCCCTCAGTGTCTGGAGCCTCAGGGTCACAGTCTCTGGAAAGGAAGGAGCAGGCATGCCTCTGACTAGAGCTGCCAAAAATTCTTCTGCCAAGTGCCAAAGTGCCAAGTGCTTCAGGAGCAAAGACAATGGGACACGGGGCCTCTAGAGGGGCCTCCACTGGCATCTAACAGAGTGCCCAAATACTTTTCTTTCTGTGGGCAAATAAAGCAGACACCCAAGGAGCAAGTTCTAGAAAGTTATGAGCCACTCATTTGCAAGAGAGGAGAGCTGCCCGGAGCTCATTGCAACATCCCTATTGACTTAGCAGTCCTGAGGAAAACAGAAACCGATTCCCACAGCCTGAAATGATTTGATCAACATGGCCCTTCTCTGAAAAACAGACATGAAGTACTCCACCCCAACATACAAATACGTGTGTGTGCACACAGAATCCCATGGCCTGAAGCACCAGTTCAAGTACCAACTAGCACAAAAGTACAAATAGAACAGCCTCTGATTTTATTTTAGAGAGATTTTTGGTATAGGGCACATACACTTGCACATACACTTGCCAGAGGGAGAGAGAGAAACAGAAGTGAGAAATCGCTCTCCAGGGGGGATGGCCACACTGTAATCTCTTCTCCTCCAGTCTCCCAGGATCTTGGGCATGCAAGCACATGTGCGCAGCATGTTTTAATGCTGCCAGGTCCAGGACTCGAACCATGGCCAACTATGTGGGAGTCCAGTAATGTAACCATTACACCATCTGCTAGTCCCCAGTCTGTGGCTTTAGAGTTAAGCAATAAACACTGCTGGGGCCTGCCTCTGAACACAGGTCGCTTCTCCACCTCTGGCCCTTCACACGACAACCTTTGGAAGATTCATAACCTGCCTGCATCACTGACATGCAAAAATCCAGGTTTTGTTTTTGTTTTTCTTTTCAAGTTGGCACTAGGGCAGTCAAAAAAAGAGTCTATTATTTCATTAAAATATATCTAGTACTTACACATTTGAGTTTCAGAATACAACAAGGAATTCTAGTCTCTTTTTAATGAACATTATGTTTTTGTCAGTAATTTTAATACTATGAAGCAATACGCATTTAAAAAAACTCATATCTTTTTAAAAGAATTATTTACGTCATTTTATTTATGTATTATTATTATTATTCAGTTTGACCGGAGAGCAACACAGAGAGGGAGAAAGAGAGAGGGACAGAGAGAGAGAAAGCAAGTTTCCAAGACCAGGACTCAAACCAGTTGAACATGTCAGAGTCCAGCACCTTAATCACCATGCCACCTGCTGACCCCAAAAGCCATATCTTTTAAGAATGTTTTGTTAGTTTGAATTTTTTTTTTTTGAGAGATTTTCACTGTAGAGCGCGTGCGCTCGCCAGACAGACAGAGAGAGACATAGAGACAGAAAGCGAGAAATCACCCCCCAGGGGGGATGGTCACGCCGCAATCCCTTCTCCTCCATTCTCCTCTCGGGATCTTGGGCACACACGCACACGCGCCCGGCGTGAGTTTTAAGCCACTGGGTCCGGGACGCGAACCGCAGTCGACTACGTGGGAGTCCAGCGACATAGCCATTACACTAACTGCTGGTTCCCTGTTAGTTTGAATTTGAAAGTCATTTCCCTCTATTTTTTTTCTTTTAATTGTGCTATAGGGCACATGCCCTTGCTGTGAGGGAGGGGAGAAAGGGCAAAAGAGAGAGAGAGAGGAAAATCACTCCCCAGAGGGGATGGCCATGCCATAATTCCTTCTCCTTCACTCTTGTCTTGGGATTGGGGCATGCACACACACATACCTGGTGTGTTTCGCAAGCTGCCAGTACAGTTCGGTTATGTACAATCCAATTGCCTTCACCACCATACCACCAGGTGGCCCAAAAGTCATTCCTCTTTTCCTACAGTTTTTTCTATGCCTCTCTCTCAAGCCAGTAATCCTTGCAGATAGACACAGGATGCATAAGTTCTCCTTCCAAGGATTGTAATACTGGTGTACTTTCTCTCTTTGAATAGAGTATACGTGAAACTGGCAGGGAGCATAGTGGTTAAGGTGCCGGACTCCCACATGGCCAACTATGGTTCAGGTCTTGGACTGGCAGCTTGCTTTCTCACTCTCTCTCTGTTGCTCTGTGGTCAAACTGAAAAAAAAAAAATGATGATGAATAAAATTAAATAAATTAATTGTAAAAAAACTAGAGTATATGTTTAGTTTTGTCCTTAGGACTAATTATAAAATTAGGTGATGGGGGCTAGTCGTAGTCATGGCAGTAACACATCTGAGATGCTGGACCCATATGGGAAGGTCCTGTGCCTTCCCATGATCCAGGCTGGCCAAGGCTGGGGTGGATTACAGCATAAGGACCCTGTTGGTGGTGCCCCCTGTCATGGAAGAAACAAACTCTAAAATAAAATGCAATATGATAATGGAAAGAATGGGCTAGATCACCTCTCAATGCCTTTATAACGTTAGTATTTTTAGGTCAATAAGCATGAAACGGATTCAGAAACAGAGGTAATGGTCAAAGGAGGGAAAATCCACATTAAAGAAAGATCATGCTTCCAGGGAGCAGGGACACTATTGACTGAGGGAGAAAGAGGACAAAGTCCTGCTGATATTCCAAATGTCCAAACAAAGAAAAAAATGTAAACATTCACTTTTTAGTAGACTCTGGGTTTGGATCCCATTCCCTCTTTCCCAGGTATTTTAAAGCATTCTTCTGAGAATAACTCTTTACAGAGATTATTCTTTGCTCAATGAAGGATAAACAGAAGCTCCTGAAGACAGGTGGCCGGCCGGCATTGGTCCACTTACTTATCCATCTACCTGAGTCACACTGCAAATGCCTCCAACAAGAGCTTGACAAATCTCTTAGCTGAGCTTGTTTATAACCCGACTCCTCCTGCCTCTTCAGCAATAGCTAGAACCATTCCTCTTTTCCGGGAATGGCTCTTCCCATCCTCTGCTAAACTATAGTCTATCTCCACCTTAATGCAGTATCTTCTTTTACATAAAAGTCGACTTACTCAGAGAGAGTGGATGTTGAGTGCTCTTCCACAAAAATAATTGTGTGGGGTGATGCATTTGTTAATCAGCAAGAGTTAAGTATTCCACAAAGTCTGTTTCTCAAACACAATATCGTACATGATAAATAAATCCAATGTTATCTGTCAAAAGGACATGTTACTAATACTCCACACCCCATCTGTCATTTGAGAGAGGGAGGGATCTTAGATCAACCTTCATTTTACTGAACAGAAAAAGGCGTTTTTTCCCCAGGAATATATGATATTCCTGGATTTGAAGCTTTCCAATGTGACACACAATTTCTATATTCCACACTAGTCATTTGTAGGAAATCAAAGGTAATTGTCTCTTTTCTTGGAGAGAGATTTTTGCTAAAATCAGAGCCAGTGTGCTCGCCAGAGAGACAGAGAAAGAGAAAGAGAGAAAGTGGTAAGTCACCCCCCAGGGGGGATGATCACACTACAATTCCTTCTCCTCCACTCTCCTGTTGGGATTTTGGGCACATATGCACACACACCTGGCATGATCTCCAAGCATGCACACGCACCTGGTGTGTCTCAAGCCTCCAGTCAAGGACTCTAACCATGGTCGGCCACGTGGGAGTCCAGAAATATAACCACTACACCACCTGCTGGTCCCAATAAAAGCTAATTGTAAAGATGCCACTGAAAATTGTTACTTTTAAAAACCTACACTATTTCCATTAATTCCATAAATATTTCTCCCTTTCGATCTATAAAAGAGTTGCTTGAGTTAAAGTATTGTAGTTAGTAACTGTGTGGTTAATTAATTAACTGTGCTTCTGGGAAGTTGGCCACATACTGTTTGGATAATTATATCATTGAATTTCTAGTGTACATTTATGACTAGAATCTAAGATTCTTACTGTAACACAAGGAGGGTCTTGGCTCATCTGAGATTCTCCTAGCCCCTGAAGTGGTACTGAATAATTTGTACTGCCCTTCCTCAATAAAGGTGTTCGGTTTTACCCATGCATTCTTACCATTTGATGTGTTGTCTCAGAGCAAGAAAACTGCAGATCCCAACCTTCCAGTAAGAATGCTCAGAAAAGAGGCTATTATTGGCAAACATCTCCAAGAATTTCACAACATGGCTAAGGGAGGGGAAATAGAGGAGGGTAAACGGAAAACAGAAGCACCAGTGCCCAAATGTTACTTACGCTTGCAAAAACTGGAAAAGGCTTGCTTCACGAATCGGGTGATCAACCTGGATACCAAGCAAAGTTGTTTTTTTTTAATTTTGAGCAAGTGCAGCCCTCTCCGCACCACCACCGCCTCACCCCCAGGCCTCCCTTTGGTCGCTGATTCTGTGGGCTCCTCTTAGCCTTGGTTCTGGCCAATAGGACATTCAGCTGGCATCTGTGCCCACTGAGAGAAGTGGAAATCAGAGTGGGAAAGTAGACTTGCTAACTCCTTCAAGAACTGAACTTTTCCGTCCCTCTTGTCCCTTGGGTCCTGTAGTTTAATCAGGGCCCTTAACGCCTCCCTGAGGAGTCCCACACCGCCTCTGGCAGGAAGGGACACCCCCACAAAAAAGCTCCAGCAGACGCGACAAAA